TTCCTTCTTTCACATGATTTATGCCCGTTTCAGCCGACAATTGAGCCTTCAGGACTCAAGTCAGCCATTGCGCACTCTAACACTGGTGAAAGTGGTGGCCGTCATTCACCTTCACCACCCACGCTCCTGAACCCAACACTAATCCCGATCTCTCACAAAAGTCCTCACGCGGCTACTCAACATTGAGCTAATATTATTCTGCAATCGTTGTACCACCAACTTTCATTTAAATCAAATCATTTGTGATTTACTAACAATACGATTTCAGCAGGAGTTAGATATGGCCAAATTTCCCTCGTAAACACCTAATTTGGCCAATATGTTAATGTTGATCGTAGGAACTTGGTGCTAACCTGTGTGATCACCCAACAATGTAAGGAAGAGATAAGGCCTCGGGAAAACGTTGTCTTGAATGACGACACTGCGTGTACAACCGCATTCTGACTGCCTGAACGCGTCCACGTACTCCTACGTGGAAACGTCCGTTGATTTGACTGCTCGGCAACGAGTCATCAGTTGGTTGGCATTGTTTTCGCCTTTATTGAGGCATAGGCACATGCCATGTTGGAGGCAATTGCAATTCTACTTTGCTCGACATATGAGGCAGTAATATATTTGAAAATATTCCAAGAAGAGACGAAGATTTAGCTTTACGTCTTCTCATATCACCGTGCAATCCCGCCTTCTGCATTGCAGTGTCCTTTCCACCAGTCCATTGTAACCCCATCGCCTGTGCTCATTAACCTCGGCATTTAACCCAGCGCCTCCCACGTCAGTGCACGACCAAATGCCATTGTGGCGAGAGATTGCTGTGGCCATTGTGCCACCACCGATGATTAAACCTGCACGATTTGCATTTTTCAATTAATCCAACTTCACTGTGGATGGGTGAAGCTATTGTTTGTTGGTAATAAAACCTACATGTACCAATATTTTGGTGCTAATGCTATTGGTATAGCCCGTTCCTGGACAACCATGGGAACAGATGGTTTGATCCTGAGTGGTTAACTTCAGCTCACTCACATAACTAGCCTCCCGTCACAAGAAGAAAATTTAGTTAAATAGTAGATAGAACGTAGAAAAACCGAAGAATTGCCACCATCATACTCACAAAATGATTTATATCTACTGGTTGTGACAGTGTTTGAGCAAATTAAACTAATCCACCAGCAATGTAAGGCCAGTCAGCAACAATCACTTGTTGGGCAATTTCTGAGGAACTGTCAACATGACAACTAAAATTGAAAGATATCATGATCGAAGTGTTTGTAAAGTCAGGCTGCACAGTTGCGTTAGACAATCAAAAAACATAAGATTCCAAAGGATTAAACTTGAGCAACTACTGCCAACAGTCGGTGCTACAATTCTCAACAAGGACCTTAAGTAGCAAAATTCGGACAAAGAGAAACAGGCATATCATCACAATCGGCAAGGCAATCGACCACCACAAGACACAAAATATCACCATGTCCAGTCTATACATAAAAACGGTGAAGACAGCATGGAGTTAATTTGTACATTCTTAAACTCAACTAGCCTGTCTGCCAGAAACGAGGAGGTGCAACTTCCGTTACCACAAAGTGAAGGAGAACTCCTGTCACAAATATGTGACGCTAGGCGCAAATCGATTGTTTTACCCACCAACAAGTAACACACCTACAAAGGATCCAGCAAAGTGCGAGAAAGCAAAGACGCAAAAGTAAAACATTACACGACTACAACGACAATGGCCTGCAACAAATGCTACATAGAGTGACCGAGGAAATCAGATCCAATTCAAAATGTTCAAATTGCAAACCAAAACCAGATCAGTTTATAAACTTACAAGAATGCCTTTTTTGACATCAGCTAATCCATAGTGATCCTCACCCAACATGTCGCCTAGTCCGGATACATTCGCGTAACACTACGAAGAATAAAG